TTTTTTTTTTTTTTTTTTTTTTTATTCTTTCTGGTTCTGCATAACATTCCAGCCACTACAGCTCAGACCTACAGCAGCATTACTGGTGCTTGATTTAATACCAAAGTTAAATTACAGGCAGAAGGGTTTTGGTTCTTACCTTTCAGCCACATCCACCAGGTTTTTATGACTGACAGCGAAAAGTCTTTCTCTGTGGCTCTGCTTCATCTCGTCTGTGACTCCACTCAGGAAACGACTCATTCCTGCCACACAGACCCAACTGGTGTTAAAGGCCAAATTTCTAAAATTAAATCTGTCACTTATACCAAGTAAATCTTTAATTATTTAGCCTATACAAAGTTCAAAAATCATGAAAAATGCTCATCACAAGTTTCCTACAGTTAAAATGGAGCTTTGGTCCTGCAGCAGATTAAAAACCCAGCGACTGGGGCAGAAGACTGAAACAGCCATTTTGAGGTTTTCTTGTGAAATGTGACGAGTCCAAAAACATTTCAGAGTTTAGCGATAATCTATAGTAAGGCGCATTTTTCAGGAGAAGGTCGGACCCCATTCTTACAAGAGCAGCAGCTTAGTAGATAATGTGTTAGCAGGCTTGTGACAGCAGTTAAATCCCTTAAACACAATCTGTACATCGTGCTCTGTCTTACAGCCATCATTTTGCCAGCAAGACCCCTCCTAAAAAAAAAAGCCCAGAATGCAACAGTTTACTTGCTGATGTCACTGTGAGATAGGGCAATGACGGTAGATGACTGAGCCGGCTGCTGTCAGGATGAATCGGTTCACGTCCTGCAGCTGATTCAGCACAGTGGTGGACTCACCTTTGTCTGCAGGGGCCACGGGCGAGTCGACAGCTGAGAACACCGCCAGTTTGGCTTCATCGATGTCTTGCTGGGTGAACTGTCCTGACTTTGCCCAGTCAATGCCTCGATAGAACGCAGACAAGGTCTGCACCGAGTTGGGATCCCTAGAGCAGAAACAAAGTGGGGTCGGCACAGACATTCCATTGTTTTAAACTGTACTTATGTAACGGCTCCTAATAAAACCAATCATCTGATCTAAAGAAAACGTTGGCAAATAAAGGTAAGATAAATAAGAAATTCACTGCATCCACTTCCCTAAGCTCATCTGGGTCCCACAAATGTGGGATCACTGTGGTAAATGTCTGCCCACCTGTATGAGTAAAAGGAGAACAGACCACCTGCTCCCACCCTGGCCCCGCCACCATAGGCTCCGCCCTTCTCTCGAATCTCTCCATGGAGGAATTTAGCCGTCAACATCCTCCCCAAGATGCACAGACTGACAAATAGAGGAACAGAGCGAGAACATTGTTTTCAGACCAGGATGTGGACGTATTAGGTTTTACTGAAGTCCAATATAGAAATATTCTGACAGAAAGCAAGACGCAGTGATTTCCTTAAGAGAAAACCAGCAGTATAGTCACCTGGCGTAGTCCTCGTGGGTGAAGGGAACTGTACGTATAGTCTTGCAGACAAAATTGACAGGGAAGGGCATTTGGAAGAAGGTTTTCATTTGACAAGGCTGGAAGTTCAGCTCCTGCAGAGGAAAAGTAAAGTCATCAGTGGGTTCATGGTGAGATTTACATTCTGCTGGACCATGATTTAGATGGTTGTCAGCGCTCAGTCTGGGCATTTACTCAGCAGTCCGTTAGATTTCGAGACTTTTTTTAATGTTCTCTTCAGCGTCACTACTTCAGCCACACCAGAAGCTGCTCTGTGCCTTCGTCCTGTTGTCTTCACGGTCATTAAGTGTGGTAGAGGTTACACATGACCAACACTGTGACATCTTCTTAAGATGACATCAAATACAAAAAAGGCTAAACCGAACTTACTGAGACGAGTTTCCTGCTCGGTCCGGATTCATCCAGAGGGTCCAGCGGTCTCTACGTCAAAGGAATAATATCAAAGAAAGCAAAAGAATAAGTAAGAAACAATCTGAGGTCAATATGACAAATATTCTGACTGGTACATTCATCCACGGGCCAGCTGAAAACTCACCTCAATAATATTTGGACTGACAGGTTTGCGTTCTTTCCTGTTCTCTGCAACTTCCTTAAAAAAACTCTCCAGCTGTGCTGCTGTGTCAGTCAGTTTCTGTGGAGTTGCGTTGATTGCACACCTGTGAGGACCACGCATTTCAATTTGAAGTGAAATGATGTACAGGCTGTAAATTTACATTAGTCACTTTGTTAAAATACAAAAACAAACAGCAGGAAAACAAAGCATAAGAAGAAAAAGTACAATGGCTGCAAAGAGAGAATGCTAAACATTATATTGCACAGTGCTCCCACTGCTGGATACGATGACTAAATCATTCTCCCAGGAGGTGGAAGATGAACCCACCTCATGCTGTCTGGATTGAGAATGTGCTTTTTGATCCTGGGTAACGTTCTGACCACTTGGCTGAGGTCAGACATCTCAGTGATCCTCTTCATGAACTTCACCTGATATTCAAACAACCGACACACTGAATCCAAACTACTGGCATGACAACAGAAAGACTGCAGAAAACACTTTGTTTGCATAAATGGAGACCACCAGGCCAGGAATCAAGAAATTAAACGGGCTCCCTTAGTAAAGAACAACATCCAACAGCTTCTCGTAACACGGGAATTTCTACAATAAAGGAATGGATTGTGGCAGGAAGTGTGTGGTGAGTCTGTTCATCGTGTAGCCAATGTTAATAAAGGCTTCCATGTTTTAGCAAACCTGTGTGCACCACTTAGATTTAACCCAATGAAACCCAGTGGCACAGTGGACTGAATGAGGGGCAAAGAGAACAGAATAAATAAATCTCCCAGTTCAGTAAAACGTCACATTTCTCCCATGTTTATGTTGGTGCTGAGTGGCTCATATTCTACAGTGACATACTTTATATGACTGATCATTTTTAATAGCACAACTATACTATTCTCAAGCAGAATGTAGTTGCAAAAATATGGAGAGCAACTGGCACAACAGTGGGACGTTCAAGACCACTATGGCCCTCAGAACATTCTTGGCTTGTGGTGTGTAGCAGCAAGTACCTGTTCCATTCCACCAAACGTCTCCTGGAGGTCTCCTGCTGGACTCAGGTGTCGGCCCGCCCGGGTCATAGCGTAGAGGTGACCAGAGTATGAGATCCCATTAGCCAGCTCCTGTGCCGACATCATCACGAGCACCCTGAGGCGCTCCTCGTTGTCAAAGTGAGGGCTAGGGGATTAGCATCACAGTTTGTTTTTGATTTACTGCCACTGTTTCTCTGCATACAGCTCAATGTCTATATATATATATATATAAACTAGCTCCAGGCAACATCCATTTATCAAATGATGACATTGGCTGCAGCTTTTTGATACACAGCAGGTGTCCAACTGTTGGAGGATATACCTGTTGAATATGTCGCGCCACAGCTGAAACATGTGAGGAAGGTTCCTCTCCAGGCAGGAGGAGAGCAGGAGGACGCCCTGAAACACAGAGCACAGAACCCTGAGAAACTCTTTAGCACATGAGTGAAGGCATGATTAGAGACCAAAGCCTGCAGCAGTCAGGGCAAGGACTTGTTAATAGCTCACTCATTTCAAGTTTCTTTCTGAGGAAGGGGCTTCAGTTTATCCCAGCATGCAGTGCACAAAAAGCAGAGAGTTAAACTGGGCCTTCTGGCAGGTCAACACATATTTACAGCATTCTGATTTGCATGTCTTTGCACTGCAGCACAACATCCACACACATGCAAGGACTAGAGACAAATGTATTTTTTGGCTTAACAGACACTGTTGGCACTGACCTGCTCGTACACGTCCAGCTGGGTGGAGTCAGGGATGACCTGGGGGGAAACAGACATGCCCCCTGTCCTCAGCTCCATCAGCTGGGCCTGCTGCCTGTAGTCCAGAGCTCCACCGCCCATCCTAATTAAACAGACACAAACAATGTGTATCAATATCCAGCTTCCACTTCTTTCTGCACGAACTCTCAGATCTGGAGAACACACATTTAATAACGGAAAAAAGAAGCATTCACTCTTAACCAGCTTCCTCTCTGCCGTGTACTTCATGAAAGGAGTCTTCAATATTTTGTATCATAGTCAAACAATCAGAGACACAAAGTACAACAGAAGACAGTGCAACCAAACAATCTGCCCTTCAGATTAACTCACTTGGTAATAACAGTGCAGAAGAGCGGGACATAGAGCTTGAGGTCCTCTGGCAGGGTGTTGAGGCTACACATGGCCCTGAAGTAGACCAAACCATTGGTGGGCTGCTCACAGTACTGCACCGGCACGCCTCCTGTGGAGAGCAGGAGAGTTTCACCAAGAAGCCTTGACCCGGGTGATGACCCCGATGGAATTACTGTGAAAAGGTAATACGAGTTGCAGTATAGTGGGCACTGTACTCTACCTGCAGTGCCGATTTGAACAGGAGTGAAAGGTATCGTGGGCTCGATGTCAGACACTTTGAGAGCAGGCAGACAGGAGGCGTCCTGGGTTTTACTCTGAGCAGCCAGCAGCTCCAGACCTTCCCCAAAAAGACAAATAACATAATAATAATAATATTTAGTGCATACTTGAATCACAGGTGCTTTACATTACAACTTTATTCAGTCACACTCACAGGGTTCTGATAATTTAGTGTGTATCGAACAATTTAACTGAAGCTGAATGTGCAAGTAAAGATTTAGGTCCCTCTTCGTGCAAAGACAGAGGACTCTTAAGCTGAAAGCCCAGCTCCACAGGATGTAAGAGGTTTGTGAGTAGCGCTAACAAGTAGCTAATCAGGAGCCTGTTTGATCATTTAGTTACAGTTTTGCTGTAATTTGACTTGTTCTTGATGTGAGGTGACCTCCCTGCAAAGGAAACATAAATTATCATTACCATTCTCATAGATCTCTTTTCTGTCACCGTCAGACAGACCATGGATCTTTCTCTGCAGCTTCTCTTCCTCAGCCTTGGCTTGCTTCTCCAGGTAGGCCTGATCTGGGCTCATGGTCAGGGTCAGTCTGTGAGTGTTCTCCTGCAGGGCCGGGAGAACAGAACAGCATGAATTAGCATTAAAAGCTAAAACTCAACTAATAGATCTCAGTTGAACCCACTGGTGACAACATTAATGAAGGCTGCAGTACTGATCTGGTTAGAGACAAACAATCCGACCGGCTACAGTGTTCACCTTAAAGTAGTGCTTGACTTTGTCCTGGAGGAAGCGAGGGTTCTCACTCAGGGCCTGCCTGAACTTGGCGACGCTGTCACTGATCTGCAGCAGCTCCACTGGGTCGCCGTCATGGTTCCACGATGAAGCAATGTACTACAAATGCAAAAATGTAAACAGTGTCCAGAGTGAGGAAGGGCGCTGAAACAAACGAATCATTATACAATAAAACGCTGTAAATTTATAAGAGCAAAATTAATATTTTAACTTTATTCATCTTATTTTTGCCTCTTGTTTCACAGTGGATTTTTCATAGCAACACCAAGACAAGTTGTTTAATTATGCTGAAATATAGTTATTTTAAAATACTGATGTGCATTTCTAACTCTTGTCTAGTTTTAGATTAGTTTTGTTACGGATATACCTGTTGAATATGTCGCGCCACAGCTGAAACATGTGAGGAAGGTTCCTCTCCAGGCAGGAGGAGAGCAGGAGGACGCCCTGAAACACAGAGCACAGAACCCTGAGAAACTCTTTAGCACATGAGTGAAGGCATGATTAGAGACCAAAGCCTGCAGCAGTCAGGGCAAGGACTTGTTAATAGCTCACTCATTTCAAGTTTCTTTCTGAGGAAGGGGCTTCAGTTTATCCCAGCATGCAGTGCACAAAAAGCAGAGAGTTAAACTGGGCCTTCTGGCAGGTCAACACATATTTACAGCATTCTGATTTGCATGTCTTTGCACTGCAGCACAACATCCACACACATGCAAGGACTAGAGACAAATGTATTTTTTGGCTTAACAGACACTGTTGGCACTGACCTGCTCGTACACGTCCAGCTGGGTGGAGTCAGGGATGACCTGGGGGGAAACAGACATGCCCCCTGTCCTCAGCTCCATCAGCTGGGCCTGCTGCCTGTAGTCCAGAGCTCCACCGCCCATCCTAATTAAACAGACACAAACAATGTGTATCAATATCCAGCTTCCACTTCTTTCTGCACGAACTCTCAGATCTGGAGAACACACATTTAATAACGGAAAAAAGAAGCATTCACTCTTAACCAGCTTCCTCTCTGCCGTGTACTTCATGAAAGGAGTCTTCAATATTTTGTATCATAGTCAAACAATCAGAGACACAAAGTACAACAGAAGACAGTGCAACCAAACAATCTGCCCTTCAGATTAACTCACTTGGTAATAACAGTGCAGAAGAGCGGGACATAGAGCTTGAGGTCCTCTGGCAGGGTGTTGAGGCTACACATGGCCCTGAAGTAGACCAAACCATTGGTGGGCTGCTCACAGTACTGCACCGGCACGCCTCCTGTGGAGAGCAGGAGAGTTTCACCAAGAAGCCTTGACCCGGGTGATGACCCCGATGGAATTACTGTGAAAAGGTAATACGAGTTGCAGTATAGTGGGCACTGTACTCTACCTGCAGTGCCGATTTGAACAGGAGTGAAAGGTATCGTGGGCTCGATGTCAGACACTTTGAGAGCAGGCAGACAGGAGGCGTCCTGGGTTTTACTCTGAGCAGCCAGCAGCTCCAGACCTTCCCCAAAAAGACAAATAACATAATAATAATAATATTTAGTGCATACTTGAATCACAGGTGCTTTACATTACAACTTTATTCAGTCACACTCACAGAGTTCTGATAATTTAGTGTGTATCGAACAATTTAACTGAAGCTGAATGTGCAAGTAAAGATTTAGGTCCCTCTTCGTGCAAAGACAGAGGACTCTTAAGCTGAAAGCCCAGCTCCACAGGATGTAAGAGGTTTGTGAGTAGCGCTAACAAGTAGCTAATCAGGAGCCTGTTTGATCATTTAGTTACAGTTTTGCTGTAATTTGACTTGTTCTTGATGTGAGGTGACCTCCCTGCAAAGGAAACATAAATTATCATTACCATTCTCATAGATCTCTTTTCTGTCACCGTCAGACAGACCATGGATCTTTCTCTGCAGCTTCTCTTCCTCAGCCTTGGCTTGCTTCTCCAGGTAGGCCTGATCTGGGCTCATGGTCAGGGTCAGTCTGTGAGTGTTCTCCTGCAGGGCCGGGAGAACAGAACAGCATGAATTAGCATTAAAAGCTAAAACTCAACTAATAGATCTCAGTTGAACCCACTGGTGACAACATTAATGAAGGCTGCAGTACTGATCTGGTTAGAGACAAACAATCCGACCGGCTACAGTGTTCACCTTAAAGTAGTGCTTGACTTTGTCCTGGAGGAAGCGAGGGTTCTCACTCAGGGCCTGCCTGAACTTGGCGACGCTGTCACTGATCTGCAGCAGCTCCACTGGGTCGCCGTCATGGTTCCACGATGAAGCAATGTACTACAAATGCAAAAATGTAAACAGTGTCCAGAGTGAGGAAGGGCGCTGAAACAAACGAATCATTATACAATAAAACGCTGTAAATTTATAAGAGCAAAATTAATATTTTAACTTTATTCATCTTATTTTTGCCTCTTGTTTCACAGTGGATTTTTCATAGCAACACCAAGACAAGTTGTTTAATTATGCTGAAATATAGTTATTTTAAAATACTGATGTGCATTTCTAACTCTTGTCTAGTTTTAGATTAGTTTTGTTACTGTGATTATGTTTTTGATTATGACCTGCCAAGGAACAGCAGATAAAAATGAGCTTTAAGCCAACTCTGGTACAATGGCAACGTTTATGTTTATTACTGTTAATGGTCCCTTACAAATAAAAGTCTGACAAGAACAGCAGTGAACTCACCGAGGCCAGAGACAGGCCAAAGTTGGTGGACTGGTGTTTCATCTGGATCTCGATCTTATGGAGCAGAGCCTCGACCCTTTCCTCCTCAAAGCCGTTCCTGTGTTGGATGACAAGCAGCAAAGACTCAGGGTGGAAATCATGTTCTGCTTCTTCCTGTTGGCTCATTTATTAGGGCTGTTTTAATCATTCATGTAGACATGCTGACCCTAGCAAAGGTCTGGCTACATTCTGTGGATCTCGGTGGACTGGAGGAAAAATACAGTAACGAAGTGTAAATGTCTTAGAAATATTGTGCAGTTTAGGCCTCATGAAGCAACGCAATCACTCTTGACTTTCAATAAATGAAGAAATAAAACTGCAGCCCAGTCTGTGCCATAGTGATGTACTATTATATGCAAACAGATAAATACACAGAAAATATTTTAACAACCCATAAAATAGAAAAAAAAAAAAAATAATTGTGGCACAAACACAAAGGTTTGGATACGCTACTAAGTCCGTCGACCTCACCCCGGGGACATGCTACAAGATTAAGAGAAAATTTGTCAAATAAATGAATCTGTCCTCAGCTCTGAACTGAACATCTAGCATCCAAGGTAGATTTGTAAATATTTAACATCGGGCCATGAAACAAAATACAAGACACCCACTGGGCCTGTGGGACTTACTCTATGATGTCGTTGATGGTTTGGCTGATGAGCTGCTTCACCCTCTCTGTGTCATGCTCAGCTATTCCCTGCAGTCCTACGCTGAACGATGCCTCCTTGGTGCTGCCATCGTATCTGCAGAACAAGACTTTTCAGTTAGCTCGCAGCAAAAACTTGGTGTCAACATACAACTTGTATGTTGACGCCAAGTTGGCCACAGAGTTTAGATGAGACAAGGCAATGTTTTGGGTAGTTCTCCACTCATATTGGTAAAATCAATCTTTAAACGCCTTCTATGTTGTATCGTATTTCAAGAATTGTACGTTATTAGTTTGATGCAGGTCAGGTGTTGCAAGCCCATCTACACACCCTACGACAGAGGAGAAGTCTGTTCCAATCTTGGGCTCAATGAGAGCTTTGTAGAAAGGAGAGTTTGGTCCTGAGATCATCAGAGAGGACAGCAGGCTGAGAGTGAATCCTTCGAACGTGTCAGTGATGCTGCACAGAGAAATGAGAACAAGAGATCAGAGGTCACTAAGCAGCAAAGCCTGGGAAAGCTTCGAAAAGACAACAGATGATGTGATCTTACTCTCCCAGCAGGTAGCTCATACACAGTGTGTTCTGCCTGGCTGGATCTGGAGCCAGGGCATCTGGGCTGCAGCTCACGTGGTCCTCTCTCTGGGAAACCAGTGAAATTCACAATGACAGACTGACTATTCAGTACATGCCCTTTTCTTAAAAAATGCAACC